ACTATTTTTTATTACTTTCCTTTTCCACCCAGCTTTAAGTTCTTTAAAAATGCTCTATCACTGAAGCAGAAAAGGAGCTCTTTGATGACAAGCTGTGATCTTCCTCTGTGTTTTGAGCTGGTCCCCTTATATAAAATTCTAATTCTTTTTTACAGTAAGTGCTTACCCATTACCAGCATCTGCCAGACTTTTAGGATCCTTGTGAAACTCATTTGCACAAGAAATATGTTGTAGAGCATTAAGGTTTGCCACCTAAAGATGACAGGCTGACTGGTCCCTTGTTCAGGTGTCTGGTATGCTCCAGCAGTGAGGTGTGCCACCATTAAGGGAAGGTCAAGGGAGGGGATCCTCCTCCTCTGCTCTGCTCTTGTGAGACTCCCCTGCAGTGCTGTGGCCAGTTCTGGATCCCCTACAGGAGAAGTACATGGACCTTCTGGATTGAGTCTAGAGGAGGGCCATGAAGATGATGAGAGGGCTGGAGCACCTCTGCTATGGGGACAGACTGAGAGAGTTGGGGCTGTTCAGTCTGGAGAACATAAGGCTCCAGGGAGATCTTAGAGCACCGTCCAGTACCTGAAGACACTGCAGGAAAGCTGGAAAGGAACTTTTTACAGGGGCACAGAGTGATAGGATGAGCAGGAATTGATTCAAACTGGAAGTGTGGATATGTGGATTAGACATTAGGAAGAAGTTCTTTTCTCTATGGGTGATGAGACACTGGCATAGGTTGCCCAGGCCAGGCTGGACAGGGCTCAGAGCAACCTAGTCTATTGTGAGGTGTCCCTGCCCATGCAGGAAGGGATGGAACTAGATGATCTTTAAGGTCCCTTCCAACCCAAATTATTCTGTGATCCTATGAGTAGCTATTTCTCCCTCACTTCTTGCCTGTGTGTTAGTAAGTAAAGATGCTCTGGACTTTGCTGATTTCACTGTTCCACTGAGCAGCTCCAGCATTTTTTTTGCCAAGGGCAAAGCAGGTTGCTTGTGTGAGTAGATGGTGAAAATTTTTAAGTGAAGCTGAGTCTTTCTGATAGTTAAAATGAGAAGGGCAACCACAGAACAGCAGAAGAATTACAAGTGATGTCATAACAGAGATTAAGTGAAAAGTTTTTCGTAGGCCTGAAACTATCTGATATTGTAACTGGGTGCTCATGGAGAATTATATCCTCTTACTGACTCACTTCTTTCTCAAAATATATTGTATACAATTATTTTAAGAAGTCTTAGGCTTTTGTCTCGATCTTTTTCAGTGAAACCACCCACAGCTTTGCAGAGAATAAGATCTAGGCTTTGATATAAAAGAGAAAGGAGTCCCCATAGAACTCTCATGAAAAACTGGCTGCTTGTGGTCTGGATGCGCACACGATCTGTTGGATCAAGCACTGGCTGAACAGCTGGGCCCAAAGAGTGGTGGTCAGTGGAGTCAAATCCAACTGGGGCCAGTCACAAGTGATTGCTCCTCAGGGCTCAGTGTTGGGACCGTTTCTGTTTAACATCTTTATTGATGATCTTGATAAGGACATAGAGTATACCATCAGTAAGTTTTCAGATGACACCAAATTAGGTGGGAGTGTTGATCTGCATGAGGATAGGGAAGGTCTACAGAGAGACTTGGATAGATTGGATCGTTGGGCTAATGTCAATGGTCTGGGCTTCAACAAGGCAAAGTGCTGGGTCCTGCACTTGGGCCACAACAACCCCATGCAAGGCTCCAGGCTTGGGGAAGTGTGGGTGGAAAGTGTCTGGCAGAAAAGGACCTGGGGGTTCTAATTGACAAGCAGCTGAATATGAGCCAGTGTGTGCCCAGGTGGCCAAGAAAGCCAGTGGCATCCTGGCTGGTATTAGAAATAGTGTGACCAACAGAAGTAGAGAGGTGATTGTCCCCCTATACTCAGCACTGGTGAGGCCTCACCTGGAGTGTCATGTCCAGTTTTGGGCACCTCAATTCAAGAGAGATATCGAGGTGCTGGACCAAGTGCAGAGGAGGGCAACGAAGCTGGTGAAGGGTCTAGAGTATTAATCTTGTGAAGAACGCTTGAAGGAGCTGGGAATGTTTAGTCTGAGAAAGAGGAGGCTGAGGGTAGATCTCAGTCTCTGCAACTACCTGAAAGGTCATTGCAGAGAGGTAGGTGCTGGTCTCTTCTCACAGGTCATTAGCGACAGAACAAGAGGGAATGGCTTCAAGCTGCAGCAGGGCATGTTTAGACTGGACATTAGGAAATTTTTTTTCACAGAAGGAGTGATTAGACACTGGAATAGGCTGCCCAGGGAGGTGGTTGAGTCAGCATCCCTGGATGTGTTTAAGGGTCGTTTGGATGTGGTGTTGGTGGAGATGGTTTAGGGGAAAACTTTGTAGAGTAGGGATGATGGTTGGGCTTGGTCATCCCAAGGGTCTTTTCCAACCCAAATGGTTCTATGATTCGTTTTTCTGCCCCAAAACACAATGCTCTCTGAGGTGAACAAGCAAAATCTGATCTTGACAATAACTGAGGGAATGGTGGCTATTATTTATTGTAAATAAAAAAAAGAAAAAAAAAGAAAAAGAAATAAAAAGTAAAACTTGTATTTTTTTTGCCAGAAGATGGCATCATCATTAACAAATTAGGATTCTTGAAAACCTACCAATACTCCTCTTATTGGAGTTGTTATCTTTACAAAGCCGATTTATTTTGAAGAATTATGTGTCTGTTATAGAAACAGTGCCTTCAGACACAGTGAACTCTGCAGTGTTGGATGAAATGAAATACTTTTTTAATGAGGAGAAGGGCATTCCTTTCTTCTAGAGCATTGCCAATTAAAAGGCCAGAGTGGGGTTTCACTGACAGCTGCAGTTTCCCCTGAATTCCCTCATATGAACCAGACCAAATATATTAATAAGTTTTCTGGTCTTGAGTTTTAAAGTTATCAGCAGTGCTGGAACCCATCACCGTGATGACTGCATAATTTTATTTTCCATGATTCATTCATTTGTTACTCCTTTATTTGTCAATGTTAGGTTTTCCTAGGTTATGAAATTACTGTTCCATGCAGGGAGAGACACTGGAGTTATCTCCTGAAACCATGTAGATCCAGTAAGATTTATTACAGCTGGGGAAGCAGAAGCAGTTCTGTTACTTCCCAGACCATCCCTCATTAAGAAGCCATTTAAGTTGCTTCCACATGTCACAGAGCCTTATCCTGTAAGCCATGCAGAGCTGCTTACATGCACCAATCCTCTTGTGTGTTCTGCAGAACCTGTATTACTTTGTTTTTCTGTATTTCGAGAATCCTTGTCTCTTGCTACTCCAGGTCATGGAAACCTGTCTGTACAGCAATTTCTGGCAATTTAAATATATTTTGTTCATTTTTTAATTAGAACCTTGACTTTTAAATTCTTACTTCTCTCCCCTTGTTTGCTACTCTTGTTTTGGGAATTGTCTGCATTTTTTTTTTTCTCTTTTTGTCCTCTATTGTGTTCAATGTTATAATTCAAACGGGTTAACAATGAATAAGTTCTCACACTGGTCTTTGGCCATTCTAGTATTTAACTTCAGCATGTATAAAGAGGTAGGTGTAATCTAGAATACAGAGTAAGAGTAGACAAAATAATTTTGCTGGATTGTTTTCCTCTCTAACAGACTCGCAGTACTTTGAGTCTGGTGTCTTGGCTTTGTGTTGTAGTTGCTCCTATCATCAAACAAAAGAAGTTTTCCATGGCAGTGCCTACAGACAGTTGCTCAGGACCTGTACAGGTTTTATATTTTAAGCTACCTTATGAAGGATAGGCATTTTTTAAAAAAAACATAACCCTGTCTCAAAAAGTTCTGAAGTTCCTGAAGTTACTTTTGACCTCTGTAATATCTTAAACTATCAAGACTTAATATAATCTTAATTGTTTCGTCATTATTATTTCACCGTAATGTGTTCATTTAATGACATGGGTTAAAATTTGGGAGTGACCTTCTTTTCTTATACGAAGTTATTTTAGAGATGCTTGAAAATTCTGGCACTTTGCCAGCTTAGCCAGAATTTTGGGGGAAAACCTTAAAATAACTTGGTATTGCTGCATGTTACTGTAACCTCCAGGAAAGTGTACAAGATGCATTTGCTAATGTGCTAGACTAAACAAAGATATAAGAAGGCAGTGGGCAACAGACACTTGAAGTGCTATCATTTTTCAGTTTTATGGAACAAGTAAAAATATCTGCAGATATCAATCCATCTGAATACAGACAGCTGCACAGTGCATTGCTAGGGAGCCATAAATGAAGGAGTTGAGGCTTTTGGGGCATACCTTTCAGTGATGCACGTTGCTTTTTTGGGTTTCCCAAGAATGCAAGTGTGGTGTTCCAGTAGCATAGATAGATTTAGAGAAATTTGTATGTTTTGGATTTTGCAGAATGTTTTAGTTATTCTGAGAAGGACACTTAGAAATGCTGACAGGATTCAAGACATACAAAGGAAAGTTATTCAACAAAACTGCAATTTTGCTGGAGTTCATCTGTAGGATGAATGGTCTTAATTATTCAGCTTGAGTTGAGGACAAATGCAATTTCTTCTTCTTTGGTTAGTTAGCGAGGGATAGCTGAACCACATTAGACCACATGCCCTGATACTAAATTGAGTGTCTAAAATTAGGCATTTTACATTCTGTAGCTTGAGAACAGGGTTTCAGTAGCTGTGGCATTTATCAAGTAGACATCAGGCATGTAGGGACTCTGCAACAGTAAGTAACAGTGTTGTGCATTTCTTACACGTTATATTGTGTTGTCTCTAGTTTTTAAATATAGTTTCATAGATTAAATGTTTGTTTCATACTTAGTTTATTGTTGTTATTGCTATATTCTGTACTGTTTGGCAGTCAAGTGTATTGTAAACTTGAAGTTAAACAAGCTTCTAGCCTAACTGCAGGTAATGGCATCAGGAAACCTAGTTTCTTCATTGCTGACTTTGTTAGATGTGATATGTCATGAGATTCTAATATTTATTTTGTTTTATTTCTTGTAGACTTTAGTTTGAAGATGGCATCATGTCTCTATGAATGCCTTTGTGAGGCAGAACTTGAAAAATACTATCCCCATTTTGCTGCCTTTGGTCTTCAGAAGATTGATGAGCTTGCCAAAGTTTCCATGAAAGATTATACCAAACTAGGGGTCCATGACACGAATGACCGCAAACGACTCTTTCGGCTCATTAAAATAATCAAAATTATGCAACAGGAAGACATTGATGACATAAGAAAGCAAGATTTTCAACCAAGTGGCCTTTTCACTCAGCCTCAAGTGACCAGACCAGGTCCCCGTAGACAGCTGCATTTTGAGTCCTTCTTTGCAGAAAATGATGAAACAGTTAAAGACTCTAAATCTGAATCATATAGTTCATCTAATTTCAGTGCCAATGAGAAGAACGGTGTAAGGGAAATGTTGGGACAAATTCAACCACATGATTCAGAGCTGAGCAAATTAAATAGAAGAGACCTAAATACTCCTGGAATATGCACAAAAAACGATGTGAGCAGTCCAACAGCTTCTGATGACATTGCTTCTCTCCTGGGGGATTCTGAAGCTCCTATCATACAAAGAATAACTCATATTTCGGGATATAACTATGGACTACCTCATTCCTGTATCAGGTAATAATCAATTGTCTTTATTTTGCTGTCCTTCAAGTTAATAATTATTAATTCTCTCTTCATTGTGGAGGAGAATCTCTCTTTATCACCCCCAAATATGCAATCCTAATACTACAGAGCAATGTAAAATCTTACTGAGAAGAGAGATTTTAATAAGCACTTGAAACTCTCCAATTCTGGTAGAGGGAATTGGCTGAATTTCACCAGCTGCTACTTACCAAGGTTGTCTAAGAATAGTCTTCATTGTCTTTCAGGATTTAAGGCTTTGTTTTCTTAGCGTTTTGGCCAATCTTTCTTTTTCTTTCCAAGACTATCTTGCAAAATATTTTTTTTTCCAAAATATGTTGGTAAGTCTGTCAAGGTTTGCGCAGTAAAAAGGATATATGCTGTGATGGCTGTTTTTGTTTTTTTTAAAGAAATTTCCAAACTGGACCTTTAAAAAGAAACAGAATTAATACACTTGGGGTGGGATATAGACATTTTTAAAACACAGAATATTTTTTCCTGCAACAGAATCACATACCCCTCTCACACATACTGCCAACATCAAGCTTGTTGCAATGCAGTTGTGGCAGGGGGGTTTTAAAATGCAGTGAAGAAGGAGCTGAATGAAGCTGGGGCTTGTTCTGGGAAGGCTGCTATGAGATTTGATGCATGAAAGGATCCACGAAGCTAGAGCATGCAGTGGCAACTCCTATTGCATGTGAATGTACCCTGAGGAATGGATGCTATTGCCACTCTGGAAAAGGACTATGGTGATACAGTAGTTAAGCACTTAACCTGTGAAATGTAAGACACAGGTTTGTAACTCCCCTTTCCTGGAAAAAAAAAATCATTCCCACCTTTCAGAGAAGTGCCCTAGCCTCCTACATACATTGGCACCTAAGTGCATTCTCTGTCTTTTCAACAAGATGTAACTAAAAGGGCAGGATTTTAATAAATGATAAATTAACAAATTATAAAATAGAACCTAGTGGCTCAGCTAGATGAGTTCAGGTTTTTTAATCCTGCAACGGGGCTGTGTACTCCATTATTCTACTTTTGTTTCCTTGTTCTCTTTTTTTCCGAAGTACATTCTTTTGTGCCTGGCCTTATAGTTTGTGGGCTGCCTGCATCCTCCTCCTTGACATGTCTGAGTTTCTCTTTCTCCTGTTTTGACCACAGAATACATGTTGTGCATTCCAGGCTTGGGCCAGTCTGGTGGGGCTGGGGTTTGTGATTCCTGTTTTGCAAGTGCCTAATGCCTTCACTGAACCCAACCATTCTCATGTCACCTTATGATTTGTCCACTGTGAAGCCTAATCTAGTCTTGTCTGTGAGAAACACTGGAAAACCCTGGCATGATTTCAGATGGCAGGAAGATAAAGAGCTCTTTTAATATGCTTAAATGTATTTTGCACTAGCCCATAGCAAATAGCTTGTTTTTGTCAGTAGCAGACAGGCAGTAGTGAGTCTTCTGACCTATTGTTTCAGCAGGTGTCTAATGATCTGTGTCAAGATTTTTGTTTTTTCTAGTAATAAAAAAAAAAAAATGCTATAAAATGCAATTTCTATTTAAGAAAAGTTAATAGATAATAAAACTTCAGATTCAGCATTTAGAGTTAAAATGCATTCTGTTACCATACAAAATGTATTAATTAAGTGTGCCTCTGTACTAAAAAAAAATATGCCTTTTATCTCCTAAAAAGAGCCTCCATGTCTTCAGTTTTCCTCAGATCTAGCAATCAGTCTTTCCTCCTTCAAGCTCTCAGAGCACAACAGGATCTTTCTTTAGGTCACCAAATCCAGCCTCTGACATGAGAATTAAACTTCAGAGTCTCTGATTGTTGGCTGGACAACATTTGGTGCCTATTGGCATCTGTAGGCTCTCACTAGCTTCTGAAGCATCTTATTTCAAGTATCATTGCCTTTCTTTTCAGGGGACATCTAAACCCAGTACCTGATCCTGGTCTGTATGAGAAAGCTGGACTAAATTTAAGGGGACTCCATTTACAAGTAAAGATTACTTGTGTGTGGTCTTCAAAGACCATGTCTTGAGATTTATATCTGTATGTGTCATGCTTCTGGTGCATCACACAGCACAACAGCAATGTTGATACAAACTTGTGGTTATAGTAAGATATTCAGTAACTTGTGGGTTTCCTTTTAATTTACTAGATAACTAGTATATGTTAATTTTCAGTCACTACATTAAGAGATTTTGGAAGGGTATTTGGACAGCATGGCAGAAACCCTTACTTTGCACAAGTTGATCTTCGATTAGAATTATTTTTTTCTCACAAATTGACATTCAAATTCAGGCTGAGAAACATTACGTATTTGGCTGAAGACAGCTTGAAAAGTGGAAAGTTGGAATGTACACATTTTGGTTGAATTCAAGCATATTCTGTATGATGCATCACACAATGTAACAGCAGGTTGATCAATGAAACATGAAATGACCTCATGTCATGTCTGGAAGGGAACTGCAGTAGATTTGCCAAAACAGAAGAACACAACTTTGCCTGTGATCTGAAACAGCATAATTCTTTATGATAAAAGACCAAAGGGGACACAATTATGAGATCAATATTTTAAATTTTCTTTGGGCTGAATAGGAACATGGTGATACTGCCTTGTTTCCCAGTTTGAGTAATTTGCTGGTAACCTGTTTAACAGCCTGCAAGAAGAAGAATGATAGTCAGTACAAGAAGAAAAGCAACTAAATATTATACCCTCTTCTTTTCAAGATTTCTTCATACTTTTATCTATACACAATTAAATGACTAATCATGGCTGAATAATTTCAGCAAGACTAAATTTTATTGCATATGACGCCAGCTTCAATCACATGTTTGTGGACAAATGAAAATATGCCAGTTTAGCGACAAGTTCAGGAATGTAGCTGTATAAACACAACTATTCTTCTAACAAAAGTGCACAAAAGGCATTAGTCTATTAAGGAAAAGCATCAGAAAATTCACTGTGTAACAATGAGATGTGTTTTGGTGGGGTCTTTTTGTAAGCCATCAAAGACAGAAGTGTTTATCTGATAAAACTAACAGATTTATGCATAGTCTAGATTCTGTAGTAACCTGATTTTTGAAATGTGACCCTACACAACTGTTGTAGATCCAGTACTTCTGAGCAAGAGTCTCCATGGACAGAGAGTGAAAAAATCAGAGTGTGTGTCCGAAAACGTCCTCTAGGCCCAAGAGAGGAGCGACGTGGAGAGGTTAATATCATCACAGTAAAAGACAAAGAAACCCTGCTTCTCCATGAAAAGAAGGAGGCAGTTGATCTCACCCAATATATTTTACAGGTAACGTGCTCCACTTGAATGTTGTGTTTATGTGTCAGTCGTTTGCATGGTGGGATAAAGCAAGTTGTACTTGGAGTTTCCATAATGGAAACTGAAAAGCGCTATTTGCCCTTCTTGCACCGAAATAGGTGGTGGGCTCTGTGAGCTCAGCATAATGATATTTGAAATTACACTGGCTTATGCCAGCCTCTAGCAGAAAACCTGAGCCCAGAGTTTTAAGCCTCAAAAGCATGTCTCTTGCAGCTTTCTTTGCACCTGGCAAAACAAAAGCCTCTGCTATATGCCATGGCTGCAGGAGAATTGCCTGCTGCAGTCTCCTGATAGCTTTCTAGGGTACGTCAATGAGGAGATCCCTTTTCACTACTTAAGTTTTGTAGGTCTGTTCCAGTGAATCACATACACCCTCATTCCCTCCCTCCCTTTGTTCTCAAATGCTTTTGAAAATTAAGTTCCCTTTTGGTCTTTGTTTCTTAATCCTGAATTCCTTGTGCAGTCATAGTTCAAATTCTCAGTTTTGACTGACAGCACCAGGAACAGAACTGATTTCTAGAGAGCAGAAAGCCATTCTTCCTCTACTGGGTGTTATTTTTACAATCTGAGTCCTAGGAGCAGCAAGTATCCAGTAAGAATTCAGTTTGCAGCTCTTGAGCTGAGTTCATGGACCACTTTTTATGGTGTGACACCTGCAGCAACTCCACCCCACTCCCTCCATCTGACTACCTGTATTTGGCATTTATGCAGCTCTTATCACCTTCGTGTCTCTGTGCTGAAATTACTGCTAATTAATTTTGTTACATTGTACAGACAAATGAAGTATTTGTATCCAATCAATATAATCCAAAAAAAAGTATGCCATGGCAAAGGCTGTGTCTTTTCTATAGGATCCAGGAGAACTTTTCTGCTTCTGAATCTGGCTGCTCACCATGCCTCCATCTCTGGTTCCTATGGAAGGGACAGCAAGGGGTACAGAGCAAATGGGAGGTTGTGGGGTGTACTCCAGCTCCATGGCTGAGGACACAAACTGCAGGCCCAGCACAGAACACATGTGCCTTCTGAGCTGAATGAGGCTGCTGAGACCCCCTGGCTTAATCTCCTGCGAGCAAGTGTGGTTGGTTTGTGCATCACTGAAATTATTCTCAGTCCTAGAGATCTATCACCTTAATTTGCACTGTGGTGTGTTATTAGAGTGCAGTGTTAGACACCAGTCCATGGAGGCTCTTTTGAAAATATGATTGTTGTGACTGTCCCTACAAATGTTATTCTTAACCAAGATGGACCCCATCATGAAGTCTGCTGCATTGTTTACAGAGATCCTGCTCCTCTTGGTCAGATCTGGAGTGTGGGAAGTTCTGGGTTTTCTTGCCACCTTCTGGGATAATACAATCCAGCTTTGCTTCAGAAAAGCTTCTGTCTTCTGTGGCACAAAAAAATTGTAAGGCTGCAAAAAAATTAATCACAACTGACGACTGTTTGTGAGAGAGTCGAGAGTTGATTCTGAGTTCTTTTTATTGCTACAGTCTTACTGTACATCTATAGTGTAATTAATTTCAGGAATAGAAGAGGGTTTTCTTTATTAGCATTTTTCAGTTTTTTAATTGTCAGAAAGCTGTGGCATGTTCTGCTTCTGAATGATGGAATATTGAGGCAAGTTTGCTTCCCTCTTTTTTTTCTTTTTACTACCCTCAGTCCCTTGTTCACTTGTAATGAGGTGTTCCTACATTTGGCATGCTGCATGTTAAATGTGCTACATCACTTTGTACCTGATCCAAAGCCATATGAAGTCACTGAAACTTTTCACTGTCATGTAAAAAGATCATATTTATTTTTCAGCATGTGTTTTATTTTGATGAAGTCTTTGGGGAGTCATGTACCAATCAGGATGTGTATATGAAGACAGCTCATCCTCTCATTCAGCATATTTTTAACGGGTAGGGCATCAGTGCTTACATTTGTTATTTTTTGCTTTGTTGTTTTCCTATTTAATATGCTGCTTTAATTTTCCTTTACGCTTTCCATCTTTTCAAAAAAATACCTTCATTTCACCTTTGCCACATACCTTCCCTCTTTTAGAGTGTCTTGGATTGCGATTCTAAGAAAATAAATCAGGGAAAACTTTTTTCACATTTGGTGAGAAATCTAAATCGCAGAAGAAGTGAAAGTGGGACCTCAGGTACAATGGACACCATCGCCAGCCTAGAGTGAAATAACATGTGACAGGATTTCTTAAGTCTGCTCCCCACTGTAAAGGTTTCTGTGTGGTATAGCACACTCATCTGTCAGGAATAATATGACATCTTTCATGAGAGTGCTGGGGGATATTTTTGCATGTATTTGTGCAGATCACCGGGCAATAGATATTATTAATAACCTTGTGATTTATTTTAATGATTTATATTTGCTTAGAGGTTTAATCATAATTACATGCTTCCTGGTTAATGGCAAATTGATGGAGGCTTTACATGAGTTCATTTATTTTCATGTAAAGTGAAAGCTCAAAACTATGTTTTTGAGCCTTTGAAGGGAAGGATTACATATCCTTTCTGAAAAATAACAAAATGAAACATTCTCTTACTGAAGTATTGCCAGCAGAGACAGAGAGTCTCAGGAGAATGAGACTTAAAAGCTTCTGTGTAATAATTACTAAAGGCACAATTCACATTACAGCTAATCCACTAATGCCACCAGAGGAGATGCCACTGCTTTTTTTCTCAGCTTTCCCTAACTTTTCTGTCCCTCCTGCTGCATCCCCTTCACTAGCATTGCTCTCATTTGACACCATAGTGAGCTAATCTCACTGGCAAGACATTTTTCAGTGTGCTTACCACAGCCCTAGGTTTTGACCTGTATCTCCAGGAGATACTGAGCCAGTTAAGAAGGATTGGTTTTTAAGATAAGAGGGGAATAAATAATTTATTGTGTAGTAGTTTTTTGATTGATTCACTTTCCTGAATCTGTGACATTATACTTGTGGATTCAGTATACAAAGAGCAAGGATTGGGAAGGACATGTAAGCACATAGTAACATCAACCTAGATGGGTTTGAAGGGCAGTGGAGCCATGCCCTGAGACCTGCTTGGCATTTTATGTGCATTGCCATTACATGTTCCAGCATTACAAGATGGAACAATCTGGAATAAGCCAAGGCTGTGCTTTCAGTAGCTGGAGTAACTGAAGTGAACACCCCTCTGCCACTGAATGGGGATGGTCTTCTTCCTTGCCACCTACAAGACACATTCTCATAAGTTACATGAAGCCAATTTGGACGTATTTTGTGATCCTTTGTGAGGTACTCTAAATTCACTGAAACAGCAGAAAATGAGCTGGCAGAAAAAGTGGAAAGCTTTCTGTTGTTTCAGTGCTGTAAAGTCAAACATCAGAGCCAGCACAGGCAGGGGTGGGTCAGTGGGCAGGTCACACAGCTGGGAGCAGAGGAAAGGAAGAGCAAGATCTTCCTCCAGGCAACAGCAGCTCTTCAGATTGACTGTGTGCAGGATTGCAGCCTGAGACAAGTAACCTCGCTCAGTAAATTATACTGCTGGGGTGTTAATTGTCATCAAGTACAACGTGTGTTTATACAGAGCTTGAGTTGTGGATGTTTTGTGTCTCATGTCACAGTCAGTTTTCTCTGTGATTCATAGTCAGTAGGATTCCCATTCATAATCCCATGATACATCTGCAGTAACTAAACAGCTGGAAGAATAATGATGAATCCTTGGTTCCCTTAAATGGATTTTTGGCACCTGGAAGAAAGGAAGAGAGCCAGCACCCTGTCACATGCAAGTTCTCCATAGGACATGCTTGGGAACTACTGTTAAGTGTTTTGCTGTGTCCCCTATAAGATGGCAAACCAAAACCTCATGGCTAAGAGTTTGCTATAGATAGATACTGACATTGCAGAATATTTTAAATAGATGTGAATAAATTGTGTGAGACACTAAAAATATAGGTTATCTTCACAGAGGCAATGCAACCTGCTTTGCATATGGGCAGACTGGAGCTGGCAAGACTTACACTATGCTGGGTACTCACCGGAACCCAGGACTCTACGCCTTGGCTGCCAAGGACATCTTTAGACACCTGGAAGCATCACAGTCAAGAAAAGATCTCCTTGTTTTGATCAGCTTTTATGAGATCTACTGTGGACAGCTTTATGACCTGCTAAATGGAAGGAAGAGGTATTTAAATAAAAATAAGTTTTACTATAAACCTATGGTTATTAATCTGTTGGTTCCTGGATATAAATCAGTTACTGTTTCATGCAGTTACATTCAACATATTACCATTTCTAGTAAATTATATGTATTTCTTTAGGGTTGTCCCTAGGAGCTACTTAGAGAGGAGGGCAGAATCTGACACAAAATACAGTGACATTGATAGGGCTGCTGGTTTTTACTACCTTTGGACAGGCAGAACTAATGACAGGATGAGAGGGCATGTCCTGAAGCTGCTGCAGGGGAGGTTTAGGTTGGGTATCAGAAAGCACTTCCTCATGGAAAGGGTGATCAGACATTGGAATGGACTGCCCAGGGAAGTGGTGGAGTCACCATCCCTGGAGATCTTTAAAGGAAAGACTGGATATGGCACTTGGAGCCATGGTCTAGCCAATGTGGCAGTGTTAGGTAATAGGTTGATGGTCTTTTCCAGCCTCAATAATTCTGTGATTCTGTGAAATAAGTAAGAATAGAACATATGGTTAAGAGCTCATGATATTTTCCTTAGACTGTAACAATTTAATAGCTGAACATCCATAGCTTGAGAGAGAACCTTCTTATGGCCAGAAGTTCTTATGCCAACCATTGTGGAGTCCCTATCTTTACCTACTCAGACGTAACCTCTGGCTGCCCCTCCTGATGTGCCAGTGGGGCTTTGGCTCTTACCACTCTCCTAAATCTGAACATCCTGTTGATTTCTCACTTGTCATGCTTGACACTACAGTGTCTCCTCACCTGCTCCCTGAGTCCCTTTACCTGGCAACCCAGTGACTGAACTGGAGCAAACATCTGCAGGTGATGCTGCTATCACCCTCAGTACTAGCACCTCAGCTCCAAACTCGTTCGGGTGGACATAAACTCCTACAGGAGCTCCATCCAGAATGGAAACTGGGACAAGTACTTGGTATACCCGAAAATCACCATAGTTTGAAATCTCTAAATAAAATAATAGTCAGTTAAACCTCAGCAGTGAGATATTTTTAGAGTGATCTCTGAGGAACATTACTGGTCAGCTGGCCTTTAGCTGCTTGAGGGTAATACCCTGAGAGCACAGAAGAAGGAGGTTTTTCTGCCTAGGGAAGTGAGCATCTGTTCACAAAGGAAGCATCTATTTCTGTGCATGTGTGTTCCCTTTCTTCAAAATAGTTTTTAAGGAGCAGGGAGTGTAACCTGCTATAAGGAGCCAATTTACTAAGGAATAAAGTGTGTCCTGTTTTCTGCATGTTTGTTAGCTGTCTTACATGTCACTGAAGGAGAAGATTAAACTTCTTCCTGTGTGCATCATGTCTGTATTCTGAGTGATTCATAGCAGAGGGGCTCTGAAATCTGACTCTATGGGTGTGGCTTTAAAATCCTGTGCAAAAATCTTGAGAACTTGAGCAGAGCATAATTTACAGCCTGAACTTCCTAGAGAAGCCTGAGATGCAGTTTAAAGAGAGACAGAACAAGGACCTCTAAAATGTAAACGTGATCATCTACTTCCCTGCTTTATTATATTCCTGAACTAGCAGAAATACATGGCCAAAGTCTTTTTAACAGTGAGATGTCAGTGGTGCATGTTATGAATAAAACATAACTAACATAAAACTCCTCAGCTCTGAAAATACATGAATGACAGAGGTATTATTTTCCTAATCAGTAGCCTTGATTGCTTTTTCACAGTGTCACAGCACTGACAGGTGTTTTCATTGCTGCTATTTGAGAGTTCAGAAATCTCCTTTCTGCACTGTTTCATTTCAGACTTTTTGCAAGAGAAGACAGCAAGCACGTTGTCCAAATAGTTGGACTGCGGGAGGTTCAGGTGGACTCTGTAGATCTTCTGTTGGAGGTAACCTCTACATCTGAGATTATTCTTTTGCCCTCTACAGACTGGTTTGTTGATTTGAGATACATAATTTGCAGTGAATGTTATGTAGGGTGTAGTAGATGTGTATGTTCCTGTTTAAGGTTCTGAGACTGGCAGCCCCACCATACCACTGAGTGGCACTAAAAGAAGTGCTTTTTTTCAGTCAGCTTCTTGGGTCACTGTGACTTGTGTTAGCCACATGCAAGCTGTTGATTTACGGCTGTCACTTCTGCTGCCAATCGTTATGGAAATGTCTTTGCCAAGAAATAGACTGCTGTCACTATTCCAGGAATTAAATAGTGTCCCAGCAAGGGACTTTGAAAGCTGGATAAATATTTTCTCTCAGCGTGGTTTCTTCGGCTTCTGTTAACTTAAATTTTCTAGATAGGAGGGATGTGGAACAAAAGAGATAAATTTGAAAATTAATAGAGCTAGAAATTAGAAAATACTTACGGTTGAGATATTTATCTGAATTAGGATTAAGACACTGCTTAGGTAATGATGGGTGATTATGGCCAAGTATAATTAGGATCTTTAAACCATAGGTGACATCCAGTACAAACAAGGCTTCAGTTTTCCTTCCCTCCCTGGCTGAGACCTAAAAGCGCAATGGCAAATTTTCTGCATTGTCTTGCTGCAAACAAGCTGGTTAAATTGGCTTTTAATTTAGCTTGATTTTGCATAATTTAATTACTTTCTAAGTAAGGAAATGTAAATTACAAGTGCTGATAGTGTAACTGACTCATTAAAATTGGGATGGTGTTGCCTACTTACATTCCATTGAATTTTGTTTGTTATCTCCACATTAACTCCAAGCTTTGGGGCATGCTGGTGATGCTTCTGTAAAATAGAGTGTAAATTTGCTATGTGGCTGATGAACACATTGCTCTGTATCACATTGCTCACACAGATTAATTTATTCTTAAGATATTTCAAGGAAAAAAGTATTTTTATATAATCTACAGGCCCTTTTGAACACGGAAGTGTCACTGGTTTGACTCAGAGCTCCTGAGTAATCTGCAACAGTTTTATGGGAAGAATCTTGAATACGTCCCTGGTTATTCACTGGTCATTGATGTTGGCTTTGATTCAGAAATTATCTGCACTAAGACAGTGCTGAGGAGCTTTAGCAGTTGGTTAGGTTGCTGGTTGAGAACTGGCCACTGAAAGGCAAGGATAATATTCTTACTAGCAGAAACAGAATTATGGTTTTATGAATGCCCTGCTGCAGTTGCTGCAAGACTTTCTGTAGCAGTCCTTAGAAGTTTTTAAAAGAGAATTACTCAGATTTGTATCTTGAAGAGCCCTTTTCTTTCTGTCTTGTCTCTCTTTCTTGTTTGCTTGCTGTATTGAGTATAATTTATCTTTTAGCTTTGTTATTTACTCTGGCATAATTCCTTTTAGTTGCCAAAGTGGAGAAATGTTTTGGCACTTTGTATTTTGTGTGAGACTTTCTGGATAACATTAGAAAGTGAAATTTTGAAAGAACACCACAACCAGTCCATCTCATGAGTCTCTTAGGTGATATCTACAGTATTTCTTTCATTGCTGCCATATTTCCCCCCCCCACCTCCCCAATTTCATAGTCTTGATATTTTGCAAATCCAATTGAATGTGTCACTGCAAGCCAGTACATATAGAAAGTTCTGAAGGAAACATCGGAAGGCATCCAGTCTAACTTATCTGCCTTGCACCAAATTTTAAGGCTGTAATGAACCATTTCTCCTTGTTACCTCCTCTTAGAACAAGATAGCTTTCTGAAAGATTGTGGGTTCATTTACTATTTTCTTGGATTTTGTCCCCCCTTATTTTGCAGGTGATTTTGAAGGGGGGAAAAGAACGTAGCACAGGAGCTACTGGAGTCAACTCTGATTCCTCCCGATCTCATGCTATCATCCAAATCCAAATTAAAGACACGGCCAACAGGACATTGGGAAGGTAAGATGAGAACCAGGAGTGCTCAGGGCCAATGAAGTCAAGCCCAGGAACATCCAAGAGGCAAAGAAGAGGTGTTGGGTTAGTGAGCAGCTGTGAGTTAAATCAGAAGACAGGTTCAAAGGAACTTAGAAAAGTTTCACAGTCCTTTCTCTTTTCCCAGGGAGAGCACTTAAGCCACATCTGTGAAGAGCTTTGTTAAACTTGCTTGTAAAAATTTCCAGTGAAGGAGTTTAGCAATCAAATCCATCTCTTCATCTTCAGTATTAGAATGCTTTTCTTGTCTTGGCATGAATCTTCCTAAAGGTAGATGTCTGCAATGGGCACATCCACCTATGAGCTTGTCACCTTTGAGGTCAGTAGAAAGTAATAGTAATTTCTGGGATCCAACTCATGCCATTCTGCAAAGTCACCTAAATTAGGTCAGGTGGATTTGCCCCTCAAAGCACCTCTGTCCTGCAGTTGACTACAAAGGCATCCTGGGATGACTAGCTCAGGTGGAGATGATTCCATTAGAGATGTTTGGGTTTGGTCAGAGGAAACCTAGTACCTCACCTAAACCTGCCTGACAGTTTGAGAGTGTGACTCTGATGCTGTCTGCAGCAGACAAAAAGAGTAGTTTACATCCTCTTGTGGCAGCCATTTTATGTATTTGAAGACTGTAGTTGTGCCTGTTCCCAGTCATCTTTTTTCCAGACTAAGCAGCCTCAAGAAACAGGTCTGAGGAAAGAGGTCTAGGTACCTGTATTACTGCTATGTGTCAGAAAGCCATGCTGACACACCCTTCCAGCAAATACCATGCAGTCTTTCTTCTTGGGATCTAATTATTTTAAATATAAGGCAAACTTCTGGAAGAGCCACAACAAGAGGAGAGAGGAAGAGTCACAAATAGAGGAGAGAGGAAGAGGCAGAGCAGGCAGGCTTAGAAATAGAAGTACAGTGGTTATGTAGGTGTGGCATGTGTGCCATTTGTTTTTGTTACTGAAAGTGAGGTGGAGCTGGAGTGGGAAAAGGATCCCAACACATGTCTTTAAGAGATATGTCTGGGGTGTTTCAGAAAATGAAGGGCAAAGACAAAGGTACAGTGCAACAGTCAGTACAGCAGCTGGCACCCAGAGCAAGGGAACCTGAGAGGGAGTAATGGAGTTCTGTGGAAGGGAGGGAAAAGGAACACTGAAAACTCAGTGTATTGCTTACTGTACTGGAAATTTCTGTTCATATTGCCCTGAATGCCTATTTGACAGGGCAGTTATCTGTTTCACCTGGCAGGAGAATCAAGAAACTTACAAATTCTTTAACTGTGTTCTTAGGAAGCTACAAGGACAGCGATTATCTGGAGAGATAAATGTGTTGCACTATAAGCAGCTTACCCTTTAAACCGTGGAGCACTCCCATCACACACAATTACACTTTCTGCTACAATAGTGTTAGTGCCAGGGTGCTCTGACACTGTTCCTGCTCTGTGCTTATTTTGGTGCCTCAGAGATTTCCAGTGCATATTTCTTTTTGTTCAAAAGTAGTTATTTCTAATCATTCTTCTGATGTCATGGGTTGCAGCCCTCTGGTTTAAAAAAGAAATAGGAAGAAAAAAAAAAGGCCCTAAGATAAATGCAACTTTGTTTTTTCTAGGATATCATTCATTGACTTGGCTGGCAGTGAAAGGGCAGCTGATGCCAGAGATTCAGATCGACAAACAAAGATGGAAGGAGCAGAAATAAACCAAAGTCTTTTAGCAGTAAGCTACTAGCATGTCTGGGGATAGTTTTGTATTTAATTACTAGTATGTGCTTTAGCATAAAAATTAATGACAGATAACATACCTGTGTATTCCCTGAGGGAAAACAATAACCAAAGTACGAAGTGTGTCTAGTTTTTCTCATGCCTGAACAACTATTTAAGAGGGAAAAGATTTTGTGATTAAAAGAAAGTGTTTTTAATCCATTGTTACAGCTACCCAGGTAAACACAGCATGGAGACAGTTAGGTATGGGGTAGTAAGTGTCCTACATTTTATATAGAAAGTTTTGTCCCTTTTACTTGCAGAGAATACTGGCTGAGGATTGCCATATTTGTTCCATAACAGCACTTCTGTTCCCACTGCTTGTTTTCACCACTTGAACTCAGGCTTCTCTTTCAAATCCGGAGTAAAGGACTTAAATACCCAAAAGCATAGAAACTAGCACAGGGAAAAAGGCATTTAGTGCAAACTGTCTTTTGTAAATGTACACGGTTACATAAAGAGGGACAAAGAGCACGGAAATGTTATCCAAGGTAAAGCAGAAGTGCCTCTAAGTATAAATTGTACAGAAGACTTTGCACCTCCTTTAATTCAAATGTACAAAGCTCACTGATGACTGAGGCCTTCTTTAAGTGAGACTGAAGGTAATACACAATCAGTGAGTATGAGTCAACAGTGCAGAAGGTAGTGCACAAAACTGTACCTCTTAATGAGCTGCAAATAAGAGGTGCTTTGCTCTGTTTTGAGAATGTAGATTGTTCCTTTGCACAGAGGCTTTCCTGCTGTGCAATATTAGCATTCATAATGGGACAGGATGTAAAGTGAATGTTTTTCTGTTCTTCATGCTTTCTTGAGTACTTGCTGGTGAGTAATTGACTAGCATGGGGAGTCAGGACCTGGATAGACAGGATTCCTGAGAAATGAGGCTTAATGTAAAGCCATGGAGCTCTTTTAAAAAATCTTTAAAATCAGTATGTGTGTAATTTTGGTATTGTGTGAAGCTGAGTAAATACATAGGCAGTTTAGCGTAGTGACAGAATCAACTACAAAAGGCATCTTTGGTAAGTCTGCATGACCTGCAGCCTGTAAAACCTAACTCTGCCTTCGATGATCATAATGCTGTCATCAGGCCTTAAAACACATGGAGTTTAAAGTCAGCTGCTGGTTTGAATATTTATGTTGATTCAAGCAAAAGACATTCAGGCACTGCAACTATGAGAAGGAGAATAAAAAACTAGAATAGTTTCATCTCTTGCTTGTTAGAAGTGTGTTTTTTAATAAAATTCAGTAAAAGTGGGAAATACATGTAATTTTAAGTGGGATATGTAGAAAAGTGGCTTCATGCTAGTAGCACCATGACAATACTGTAATCTGCTTGTTTTTCCTTTTGTATTTGCTCTAAATTCCTTGTCTTAAGGTCACACAGTCCATTTCTGCCAATTTTAATCAGCATCCTGGCATGACATGGAGTGTGAGGCTATTGTGCTTATTCCAGGGGAAACATGCCAAAAAAGGTGCACATTTTTGAATTGGAACATGCCATCTTTTTCCAAGGCTGGTAATAAATCAATGTTTGTTCAAGGCTGCAGGCTACCTCTGCTGATGGCTATTAACAACACGAAGATGTGATGTGTTCTGTGACAGGCAGAGGTGTAGCTAGTTGCTCACTTCTGTTAGTTCTAATGGGAATTCTGTCTCTGTGTCTCCATTCCTTGGGTATTCCATTGCTACATTCTTATTGTTCTCTGTACAGTTCTTATTAGCCCATCCAAGATCACAGTGACATGTTTGTTCAGACAGAAAGGCTGTATCTAAGCTACCTTCTGAGCGTGGGCTTAAACCCAGCTCCCCCCACAGCTAATTGCTTGGTCCTTTGGTTGGGTTTGGCACATTGCACTGGTGTGCAGAGGAAATGTCTTGAGATCAGCTGCCTTCTAACACAGCCCAGTGTACCCATGCATAGATGGGACACCTGGATTGCAGATTACAGTCATGGGGAGGAACATGCGCTTACTGGCTCATGCTATCTCTGACTAAGGTATGAAAATATTGCCAGAGTGGCATAAGAAATTCATACTGCTGTTGTCCAGAGTGTTGGGTGATTTTTTCAGAAGGGGAAGAGCTTCTTTTAGAAGAAAGAAGTGTAAAAGAGATGGATCTCAAAAATCTCAGTTCTGAGGTATTAGAATCTGGGGTTCAGCTGCCCTGCAAGCAGCAGCATAGTCTGCTCAACACCTAGTCTGGCTTCTAGCTTGTTAGCCATGGCTCAGGCAGGTGCACAGTAGCATGGAGCTCTGTGTGTGCTGAACATGTGTGTGTTTACTCAGCTCCTTGGGTTTTGTACAGCACCCAGAGCTGGCAGTCAGGGCTGGCTGGCTCCCTGCTGCAGCTTTCCTCTCCTTAGTGCAGCTCAACCCTGGTACCTGAATGAGCTGGAGCTGGATCCATGTGGCTGTGGCAGCAGCAAACTCCCCTTGCAGGCGACATCACAGTCAAAAATGCATGAGGAAAATATTAAATTCATAGGTCAGGCTTGATGCAACTCAGTTCTTTTCCAGTGTGTGATTAATGTTTTTCCCACTCTGTTTTGTTCCTTTTTTTTTTTCTTTCTTTCCTTTTTCTTTTTTTTTTTTTTAGCTAAAGGAATGCATTCGGGCACTGGATCAGGAACATGCACATACTCCTTTCCGGCAGAGCAAGTTAACTCAGGTAAGACCGGGAGAAAGGCAACAGCAGAGATTTTCCTGAGGAGGATGAGGAAATAAAAAATAATAATTAAAAAAGACAGGATTTAATAACTGCTTTTAAAGTGTTGAAGAAAAGAGAAACGCATTACTTTTCTAAGCATTAATTTTGAAGATAAACACAGAATTAAGGCCAACTGCCAGTTCCCCTAGTCAGTCCTGGAGACTGACATGGTAGAAACCAAATAAACCAAATGCTAAAACCAAACAGACACCCCAAATGCAGCCTTCCAGCCTCATTCAGTTACCATCTATGGCCACCCACCCTGCAACCAATCTTGCATCTCCTGTGCAGTAACAGTCATAGGACATTTCATCAGCATTTCTTCACTTGAGCTGTAACATATGCTTTATCCCTCAAAACATATGGGCACCCTTGTTCAAGGCTTGTTCAGAGCCTCAGTTAACACTGATATTAATTTTAAGTTGTAACCAAAGGACTACAAGACAAATTGAGACAAGCAGACTACATTTTTTAAAAAAGAGAGTAACTGTGCATCCCCTGACTTTTGTTAAGCTGCCTCTGTACACATTGCTAATTTACAGGAAATGCAAGGCAGCTTAGCCTAACTTTTTGTAAATTCTGAGCTAGTTAAATAACTTTCCCTCGTATATTGTGTAAATTATGAGCAGGCACAGGTTTGAAAATAAATACATTAATTGCTAAGAATCTTATTTTTTATTTCCAACTCTAGGTGCTAAAGGATTCTTTCATTGGCAATTCCAAGACATGTATGATAGCCAATGTATCACCCAGCCACATAGCTACAGAGCATACCCTGAACACTTTAAGATATGCTGACAGGTAGGTGATGAAAGCCAAGGTGAAAACATAAAGAAAAAAGTAATATATGTTGTTTGTGATTACGTTTTATTTTGGTTGCATTGGAAATGTTGTTTTAGGCAAAAAATGCCTTTTTCACAATGCAAACAAAATCTTCACCTGTTTTAAATTTGGTCTTAAAATTCTCTAGGTCTTGTAAATCCTTTTTGATGGCACCTTTTAGTGATGGAAACACCACTGCTCCCTGAACTGCAGGATTGCAGGAATCAAAAGTTTGTTTTAGTTTTGTATTGTAGTTCTGCCTGGGATGTCTGCAAGTCCTTCACCCTCCCTCCTGCACAGGAGGAAGTAAATTACAGGCTGTGCAATGGGAGGGTTAGGGGGACAGGAGTCAAGGAAGCATTTGAGGGAGAGGGTGATAACAGCTAAGCAGCTCTTCACAGTTGCTGGGATGGATCTGATCCAGGAGAACTGTAGCCCTGTACACAGATCAACTGAGCTAATTAGCCCCACTCCAACTACTCCAAAAGCCCTAGTTTGTGTCTTGTGGGACTCTACCATACACTGTGGAGAGTACCAGCTTTTCTGGAGCTGGCACTGTGCCATGCTGCATTATAAAGTGTGGAAATGGAACCCCCTTGCACTGAAACAGAGGTCACCTTCTCTCATTTGACCTGTCACTGTTCAAGGAAGCACCTCAAAATGCTGCTATAGACCCTTCCAGAAGTTCAGGCATTTTGGCAGGGAGGTTGTGATGCCCACATGGATCACTGACAGTTAAAAAAGAAATAATTACATTAAATTCAGTGTTTAACCTTAATATGTGGAAACATTAGGTTGTTCTAAAGACACAGTTGTTTATCTGAAAGCATGACATCTTCTAATGCCAGTCTCATTTATAGGGTCAAAGAGCTGAAGAAAGGGATTAAATGTTCTCCCCCTGTCACAAGCAGGCGTCAGACAGCTGGAAACGTATCTCCAAAACGTGTCCAAAACCCTGGAGAAAAGAGCTCTCCAAAGAAAGTGAAGCTAGGCCTCCAGCATCCCTCAAATGCCACAAAAGCAAAGGCATGTCCCACAGGACTCCAGCCACCGAGTGTCCCTTTCACCTCTACTCCCAGGGGAATGACCAAAGGACATGCCTACAAAGGAAGTCCCAGCACACCGTGGTTCCATCAGCCTAGCCCAGTTAAGGGAGTCCTACGGATTGCACATCCCCTGAAGAAGAAAACTGAGGACCTGTCCCCCCACTCTGAAAAGAACTCCATTGTGAAGGATTTCATCATGAAAAATGCTGCCACAACAGAAACAAAAGAGAGTGCCCAGAGAGGCAAATATATACAAGACAGACCATCTGCCCAGTGCCTAAAAGTCCAGACAGTGCAACCTGTTCAGAAGCAGCTTGTTTCTAGAGATGATACCTCCTTTGGAGATAGAAATCCGCCTTCTAACACCAGACAGGAGTGGGGAAACACCTTTGCTAAAGAATATGTTGAAGCCTGGACAAATGTGCCTCCACTTCAGAAGGAAAGAGAGGAGCATTTACGTCTTTATCACCAACAGTTTCAGCAGCCACCTATTCTACAGCAAAAATTGAACTATCAACCTCTTGAGAGGTTTCTAATGCAATACAAGCCCCAGGAGATTCAAGTGAAGCAGGAGCTGACCCTTGCACCCACAGAGGTACAGAGCAAAGAGGGGATGCAGCTGGAAGATCTGGATGACAGTGATTTCAGTGAAGATTCGTTCTCACCTGTCAGTAGTCAAAAGAGTGTGAAAAGAGGCACCAACAAATGCAGCCAACCTTCATTTTTCCTTCACCAAAGAGAACAAGGAACCAAAGAAGAGCAAAAAGGCCAGAAGCGACAGGATTTATTTTTTAAATATGAAATACCCATGCAAGAACATGAACTTGATGGCAGCTGGGATTGTAGTGAGGGCAGCCCAAAGACAGAGGAATCCATTAAAAATACAGGCTTCAGCAAAACACCATCAGACTGGAGCTATGACTCAACTATTGAGTCTTCTCCAAGCAATACCGCAGAAAAACCTTACTGCCTGCAGGAGGATCCTGCTTATAACTGGAAAAATGGCCAAGATTTTCTAGCTGATCCCAAACAGTACAAATCCAAACACAGATGTCTCGTTTACTCTAGTGAAGCTACCTTAATTCCAGAAAAGGATGCTTCAAAGTCACATGTTTCTCCTGTATTAAAATCAGGAACTCAAGAGTGTGAAGAGATTGACCTCCAGCACGAAGAGAATGAAGATTCCACTTTGGATAGACAGGCTGCCCTTGAACATGTAAAATGGAAAGCTTGGGAAAAGGGAGTTAACCATTGTGGACCTTCCAGTTGTTCCTCAGAATTCTCTTCTGATCTAGTGGCCCCTCTCACAGTATCTCTTCTTGACTACAGGGAAACAACTGACACAGAAAAAGTGTCTTCTAACCAAGAGAAGTCCCCCCGTGTGAAGCAGATGCCAGACAGTTCGAACACACATGTCCCCCAGGACAGGGTTGAGGAGGAAGGCTGGCAGTGTACCACAAGCAGGGCTCTGACAGACAGTATGCTGGAGCTGGGGGAGCAAAGGCACCATGGGGGAAGGCACTGTGCTTCCCCTCAGCCAGGGGACAAGTGGCTTCCAGCTGCCTGCTGTGATGTGGAGGCGTGCTGCTGCCTTCTGGGCTTGGGTTCATCAAAGCAAGGAGCTGCTCAGGGCTTATTCGCTGGATGCGACCTGACAGGAACATCTGCAGCTGAGTCTGCAAGCTTCAGGGGAGACAGAGAAGGTGGTTTGTTTCTCAGTGACTCAATGTGCAAAGAATACTCAGGTGGCAGACAGTGTGATGCTGATGTTGAAGATAATACTGGTAATTCAGGAAAATCTAACTCAAACCAAGGACCTGGTGTTGAGCCCATGGCTCAGGAAATAAATGCTGATATGCCTGAAAAGAGCTATTTTTCAGGTGCTTCATGCTTCCTCAGTGTGGGACACATGGAGTATGCAGTCCAGCCTCCCTCTCAAGAAAGCAGCCTGCTGCTGCAGCCCAGGTCAGGACTGCAGCATGAGGACATCAGTCCTTCTGAAGACCCAGCCAACTCATTGCTCAGCAGGGAGGAAACAGGGCTGGTGAAGAACAAGTTAATGCAGAGTACTTTTACACAAGAGGCTTTGGCTGCAGATTCCGGATTGGCAACCAAAGATGTTAACCTACTAGGAAATGCAAAGAGCCCCACAGGTGTGTCCAGCAGCAGCTCTCCAACTGCTACATCAGAGATAGGAAAATGGCAGAGGAAAGCCCTGGAAAAGGCACAGTAAGTCTTGCTCATCACCAAAGTTTGTCATGAAGCTTAGAAATTCTAGACGTGTGATACATTTGCCTTTATTTATGTATCAAACTCATATGTACTTTAAAAACTGATGAGAACTCAATCTATGAAGTAGTTAATTAATAAGAGTAATGAATATTTGTAGTAATTATCTTATCAATATATGATTGCTTGTTATTTAGTGATATTTTAAAATCTAACAGAAAGCCAATTATTCTCTTAGAGCTTCCTAGGATAATGCTAGAGGAATTAATATTATAATACAAACTGCAGTTCTCCATAGCTAGTTGAATTTCTATAAGCTCTAAATTACCTACAATATATCAAAACCTCCCATCAATAATCAGATGATAGCTGTTTCATCCCTCTGGAAAGAAAACCAACTGGAGTGCCTGTGCAGTCCCTGAAGATGTAAAACTGTATGAGCTGCCTCTGTCAGCTCCCAAGGAGCTGGACTGCATCTATGTGACTGGAAATACGTTGTTGGTCAAATAACTTGCTTAGAGGAATGAACAGCCATGCTGCCTTCCCTCTTGCCCGGTTTGCACCAACGTGACTTATAGCTTCATGGTTCTAAGCCATACCACACACTGATTAGACAACATTTTTCCTCCTGCATTTCCCTGTGGTAAAAAGCTGTAGGTGCCCCTCTCCTGCCTGTGCTAACAGGAGGTGGTCACTCCTCTCTGAGCAATCTGCAGTTCTCAAGGGCAACTTTAACCCCAAACCAGGGCAGTCCACCTCACTTCTGGGAGCTTTAGTGTGCACTTTCTGAATGCCAGGAACATGGGATAGCAAGGCTTCTTCTGGGGTTTTCCTCCTTCTTAAAGGTTTAATGAGGCCAACAGTAACTGTAGATAGCACAGCAGGCTGTGTAACCAGAGGAATATTTTATGTTAATCAGACAGGCTGTAATTCGGGCCCATCGGCAGCAGCTGGATGAAATGGCATCCTTGTGCTTCAAGGAAGAGTGCTTGATAAATCAGATGTCAGCAATGGTAAGTGTTTCAGATGATGATTCAGTGCCTGGTGAACCTGTATACATTAATCTTAGTGATTATTGACTTAAATTAGTGATGCAACATTCCTTGTCAGCTCATCCTCTGATGCCTCCCTGAGTCCTAGGAGAGGCTGCTCATTTTCAGTACCTGTTGTGTCTTTGCCAGTCTCCACAGTGCCAAGTCCTTGGGGAAGAAGGAGACTGAAGGGCCAACTCTGGACTCCTGTCTCTGATAAGACAGATTTCTCTTATCTTGTATCACGGGTGCCAGACTGTACCAAACTCAACATCTTTTCATGTGACATTTTTCTCCTTACAGGCTGGAGCAAGTAAGTCAGTACCACAGAAAACAGCACATCCCTAGAGCATGACACTGGGATGTCACCATTGGTGGCACAGTGCCACCTTTCCTCTTCATCTGGCAGCCCCTTGCCTACCACACTGCAGATGTGCCAACGCCCCACTCCTGTGCTCAAACCGCTGCGACTTGCTCTCTCACAGGCTCTTGTCTTTTGTCACTCGAGTCTTTTTTGGCTTATCCTTGTCTCAGATGACAGTGTAGGCTGGATCTAAAGACTGGCACCTGCATGGCCCCACTGCTAGACAGACAAATCCCAGTTCTCTGTTTCTCCTGCATCTCTAGAGAGATGCATGTCACAGCTGTGTATGAAATCTCATTGCTCACCCAGACTGTTGACATTTCCCAGTGAGAACTTTCTGTCTCCCCAGGGCCCTCATCTTCTCAATAAAGCTAAGGTCTATCACTGCGTTACATTATCAAACCATTTCAGGTCCTATCACAGTTCAGCTCCAGGGACTCTTGCCTCAGGGCTTTCCGCATGGAGATGCCATGTGGATTGATGGGCCAAGGCCAATTGTGTGAAGGTCAACAAGGCCAAGTGCTGGGTCCTGCACTGGGGTCACAGCCGCCCCAGGCAGCACTTCAGGCTTGGGGAGGAGTGGCTGGAAAGCTGCCCAGAGGAAAAGGACCTGGGGGTGCTGCTGAACAGTGGCTGAACATGAGCCAGTGTGTGCCCAGGTGGCCAAGAAGGCCAACAGCATCCTGGCTTGTGTCAGGAATAGTGTGGCCAGCAGGACCAGGGCAGGGATTGTTCCCCTGTGCTCAGCACTGGTGAGGGGGCACCTTGAGTCCTGTGTTCAGTTCTGGTCCCCTCACTACAAGAACATCAAGGTGCTAGAGTGAGTCCAGGGAAAGACAGTGGAGCTGGTGTAGGATCTGGAGAACAAGTCATGCAAGGAGAGGCTGAGGGAACTGGGGTTGTTTAGTTTGGAGGAGAGGAAGCTGATGGGAGACCTCATTGCTCTCTATAACTACCTGAAAGGAGGTGGGCGTTGGCCTCTTCTCCCAAGTGAATAATGACAGGACCAGAGGAAATGGCCTGAAATTGCACCTGGGGAGCGTTTAGATTGGATACTAGGAAGAATTTCTTTACCGAAAGAGTGGTCAGGCACTAAACAGCCTGCCCAGGGAGGTGGTGGAGTCACCATCCCTGGAGATGTTAAAAAACCATGTAGACATGGCACTTCACAGCATGCTGTAATGGGCATGGTGCATGTTGGTGTGTTGTTGGTTGGTTAGTTTGGGTTTGGTTTGTTGTGGAGTTTTCTTTTCGGTTTTTTTGGTTTTTACCTCCTGGGAGGACAGTTGGACTCAGTGATCTTAGAGGTCTTCTCCATCCATGACATTTGTGAGGTTCTGTGATATGTGGTTCACTTGTTGTGATGTGTGATCAGATAACATACAGAAATTCACAAAACAGCACAAGAGCCATAGACTGTATCCGTTTTTTGTCAGAGAATGCAGTGATAGAAAGCAATCCTTTTGGTTTTGGGTTTTTTTTCCTTGTTTGTTTTTTCAGCTTAAATAATCTTTTGAGATTGTTCTAGGTCTGTTGTTCATTGGACAGCATTTCCCCCCACCCCATTGTTTATTTACCCCTTGCAGCAAGCAATCATTTTCTGTCTAGCAGGGTTATGACAAGCTTGCTGGGCCTCCCAGCAGTGTATGAATAACTTTTATCCTGTAGTGTTATTTCACAGCATCACCTTCTTTTGGGCAATGACCTCGGGTTGGACTTCCAGTATCAGTTTCTCTCCTCACACTCTCCCCAGATGGTTCCAACTTTTCCAGCCATGAAACTTTGGCTGCAGGAGAGATTCCTGACAACACTGGCCACATACTGAACCAAGCAGTATTTAAAGTGCTTAAGAAAAACAATCCACAGCAGCTGGATTGGTCTTCATTACAGCCATGATGTCCCTGCAAGATACAGATGCAGTGCATGAGATCACTCTAGTTTTGCCAAATAAGTCTTTGAATGATTGATTTTCATGCAGTAGTAGCAGCTGAGGTCCCCAGCCCCAAGCATGCTGACACCTTCCAGCTTCTTGGACACTGACCAGTGAACACATGCACCAAGCTTGTCTCTCAGCTGGAAAGCAGAACAAGTCCGAGTGCTGCTTTATTAATTCAATCCCTATTTAAAAATAACTGCTTCCATTTCAATTTTAATCACGTTTTCATAGAACTTTTTATCCGTGTGGCAGGTTGCTAAGGAAGGTGGTGGTTAACTCTGCTGAGGCTAGGTACACAGCTGATGTTTTTAATGTGAGATCTAGCAGACCTGTATCCATGCAGGATTTGGACTGGCCCTGTGACCTGATGTGAAGGAATCCCTTCTGTCTCCCAAGAATGTGCTATTACACCAGGTCAATAAGTGGCCCAACTCACCGTTTATTTTCATGATTGCTGGATCCAACAGTAGAGGTGTCAGGAACAGAGTTCAGCAGATTGTGAAACTGCACATCAGATGACCAGCCCCTGTACCAAACCTTTGAAAAGCTAACTAGTGCAGAGGGTGATAGCAGGTGCTTCACATGTTTATTTTAAAACCATTGCATTAGCTGTAATTTCACTAACAGATAGAACTACCAGAGTAAGTGAACCTCAGTATTTAGAGGCAGTGACCTTTGTCTGTGAGGTTCAGGGCTGGCATAAGGAAACACTGACTTACCTAGTACACAGCAGAATGGGAAACCTGCTTTTACGTAATGCTGCAGTGCATAAAGTATGCTAATTTTCTCCAGCCTACTGTTCTTTGCTAAACGTTCCTTCTGCCTTCCTTGACAGGATTTTCAGAATTTCATGACCAAGCTGGATGAAATCTTGGTACTGAAGTCAAAGTGTATCCAAGCAATGCGAGCCCAGCTTCAGCTCCATTTAGCCTCTCCTGGAACTGATGTGTCGCTGCAAACGCTTCCACCAGTTTAGATTTTCTTTGCTTACAAATGCCCAAGAACAGCTACAGAAACAGCCAGTGCTTTGTCACACTTGGTGCTGCAGAGTGTGGGTGGGTAGGGGATAGCTTTTGGTTTGATGTTTGTGATTAGTGTGCCTTTTAGATAAGGATGGAGAGAATTCTGAGTAAATGAAAGCTAACTACGTGGCACCACAAGCTTTTGTATTTCCTTAATACAGTAACCCATGTTCTTAAGAATAACAATTCAGCAGCTCTAAAAATCTCACCAAGCAGTGGGCAGTCCTGTCCACAGTATTCACAGCAGTTTCTCAAATGTGTTGCCAAGAAAATGAGGGGAGGAATTAAAAAACACTTTGAAGCCAAACACAGTTCTGAACAGAACTGCTCAAAAGCTACCCAGAAAAGTGTGTGTAAGTAGGAGCCAGGAAGGAGGCAGGAGCCACTGTTGAAGTACACTAATGTAACTAGACCATAAGTAAATGGAAGTCAAGGTAGGGCAAGAAATGCTCTTGCTTTCAGAAGGGAAGCTACTGTCACAGTTGTTCTTGGCTTGGGCCTAACACTCCAGAGCTCCTGAAAGAAGTGGCTTAAGTCATGGGTGGTTTAGTCGGGACTTGGTACTTAAGGTTCATTTAGTATGTTAATAAGCATGTGGCTTCTATGCTGCTGCCAACAGGGAGAGGCCAACAGCTTCCCTGCTGCAACCCATGCCTGGTCTCTGCACTGTGGCACAGCTGCAGAGTGCTCAGCAGCTGGCGCACAGAATGGATTTTTCACCTGAAAAGAGGGTCCAGCTAGAGGTGGTGGGTTTTCAGAAGCTGCTTAAAGCACTGTTCTGTGGAGCTGGTATTTGAAGCAAGAGCTACAGAACAATCAGCTGGAGCTCTGCAGATGCATCCATCGCATCTGGCAAGTCCACTTGCTGAAGACACAGGTGACCTTGAAACACCCTCAGCTGACAGCATGCTGTGAGTGCTCCCACTCCAAAAGCAGGGCTGCCACAGCACACTCGGACATCTCTGTGTCTCCTCCATAATGCCTGTAGTTGTTCAAAGCCTGCTCAGCAGCCAGAAATGCCGAGGTTAAGGGAATGCTGCTGTCTGACCAGCTCTGAATTTTATTGCCTGCTTCTTCAGCTACCCGAGAAGCCCAGGTTTGTCCCAGCAGTAACACTCCTTATCTGGTTTGCATACTTGGTGCACCCCCCCCAGTAATGTCAGAATGCATAGCCCTAGAGAACAGAAGCACAAGAGGAAGTCTCACATCAGTGCCATGACTGTTGGGTTGGTTTGGTTTGGTTTGGTTTTTTTAACACTGGTTGGTTTCCATCCTGCGGCTGAGACTGTGGAGCAGAGGGTAGAGTCCCTCCAGGGTCCAAGTTCATGGCTCACAAGATGCTTCCTGTGTCCAACGTACAGGCCAGCAGCAAGTCACACCAAGCCTCCCATCTATCAGCCCCCCTTTTCAGAAGCCTTCCTTGCTCAGAGACATGAGGCTTCCAGGAGCCAGACTGAGTGTCAGCTGTGTTTTGGTACTTCTGCACAGCAGAGAGCAGTGGTGCTTGACAGCCAACAGAGAGACATAAAGCAGTGGCACACCAAATGTGTTGTTAAAACCAGAGGGAAGAGCAGGCACTAAACTGAGCTCCCCTTAAACAGCTCTTAGAAAGCCCTCTCCCACCTCCAGGGACCAGGGGGAGCGTGGTGAGGAGAACACGTGACAGTTGGACAGTCCTTGTACCACCTGAAAACACAAATGGACATACAGTAGTTCCCCCAGCACTTTCTCAGAGAGCTACAGAAGCAGCTGTTTCGAAGCTGCCCAGTTTTGGAGCTTTCTTTGGAGCACAGGTCAGGAAAATGAGATCAGTAACAGAGTGCTAGGGAGGGAAACTTCCCTTCCACGTACTCTGGCATCTGGGAGGTAAGTATTGTACTTTCTCTTTTTAAAAGAGCAGCTCAGCAGAGCATGTTCACAGGCATTTTCAGTCTGCTACCTAACCTGGCCATCTCTAAAGCAACACACAAAGAGGAACCACTGGCACAGCCAACAGTGCCATGTTTCTCCCTTGGTGTTTCCAGAGGCAGGTGTAGCAGGACAGATGACAGAGCAGAGGAGATGGGAGTTAAGTCATCTACCAGATTTGAGCCACCTGTGAATCCTGTCCAGTCCACTGTGAAAAAGACAAGGCTGTCTGGCAGGTCTGAGCCCTAGTGTGAGTTCTCAGTGCAAGGAACTATTCACTCCCTGGAGGAATGGTCAGGAATATGGAGAAGCAGCAAATTAACCAAACAACCGCAGTGCAGTTTTCCAAGGTCTGATAATCCTTGTTAAACTGGAATCATGCAGCCAATCCACAAGACTATCTTGTCAAATGTCAGGTTTCATTATCAGTCTGTTCTCAGAATTTTATTTTCCCTGCTGGCCAAAATAATAAAAAAAAAAACAAAAACAAACTGAGTAGCTCTGGCTGTGAAAATCCACCCATCCTTGGCAACAGCAGGACTACAGACGTGCTTGAAGTGCTGCATACCCAAGAGATGACAGAACTGGGCTCCTAGTATCCAATGGAAACTACTACAGCTGCTGTTAAACACAGTGATGTTTTTCTCTCCACTCTTAAGGTTATGATGCTGCTGCTTCAATTCTAGTGTGAAGATGTGTTAAATGAGCATTTTAAAAGTTTAATATTGCACTGACACCTGATATGAATGGTTTCATTTCAATGTGAGGAATGTATGTGAAATTGTTGTTAGAGCAGTCAAGAGATCAAGAGAGCCCAGCCATGTACAACCCAATAAATGCAGAACTAAAATGGGTTTGCTCTTGCATTCATGTGAAACAAAGACTATTAATGCTCACGGCAGATGCTTAATATTTTATTTCAATATTTGGTATTATTTAAAATAAAATTAAATTTACTACACAATTCTGGTAAAATACATTTTAAAATAAGTGTGGTCCAAATGCCGGTTCGATTGCAGAAGATTAACTGGGGCTGGTAATAAGTAGGAGAGCTCCTTCCCACCGGGCCTGTTGCCCTGGCTGGTGTTTCAGAAGCTGTCCCCCAGCCACACGTGTCTGACCTGTGGCAGCAGAGCGACCCTTGCACCAGGGTTTGGTGCACGGCTGGCAGAAGAAGCCATCGGTCTCCCCAGCACTCAGAGCCGCCCAGCCAAGCTGTGCAGAAACGCTGCTGGCACAGGCGCTGGGATCAGCCACACAGCACTGCCCGGGGCTGCTCCCGGAGGGCTGAGCCTCTGCAGGAGGCACCTGGCTGGCTGAAGTGCCAGGCACAGCTCAGAGCATGGGGCACGGTGGAACCAGCAGCTCCCACTGTCTGACACGCTGCAGAATCCCAGGAGGAAGTTCGGCAGAGAACTTGCCAGCACCGCCTCCCATCCCACCCGCACCTCCCATCCCAGCAGGTCTCCAATCATCTGCAGCAGAGCAGGAGGCCTCAACTACTGTGCAGGTGACCAACATCTGTGTCAGAGCCCTTGCCAGCACCATCAGAGAGCACCTAAGGGGGTCTCTGGCTCGAAGCACACCTGCCAGTTTTTGCTCTTCCTCTACATTTCTCCTCTCAAGCCTCTCTACACCAAGGCACCCAGCTAGTGCAAGAAGGCCCAACAACCTCTGACAAAGCAGTGCCAAGTGCCAGGTGCACAAATCAGGCACACAGGTCAGATAGATTTGAGAGCCTAAGGAAAAGTCATGAGTCCTCCACTGTGTCCAGAGGGACAGTCATCTCACCAGTGAGCAGCAGAGCAGAGCCCAGCCTCACACCAGCCATCAGCAGGACCTCCCCACATCCAGGCTGGGCTTGGTTGGCAATTTGATAGGAGAAAATGAGAGAACTAGCATAACTAGTGATGCATGGCACCCAGCACAACATTCAGATCCAATCATGTGCTGTCCCACGTTACATGTTTCTTCAGAAGTGCATGTGACTAACCCCTCACTCTTCCCTTCTGAAACAGCCACCCCAGAAACACACTTCCAGCCTTCAGCCACCCTGTGATGTAAATCCAGAAACCGCTGAAGCCAAATCCATGTGACCAGGGGAAGAGAGATGGGAGCATCTCATTGGAAGGAGACAAGCATAACAGGTACCACTTCCCAACTTCACACCTCTGCTCTCCCCTCTGCAGAAGTCTCCATAAGCAGAGGAGTCACTGGAATGGGGTTAAGCACCAGCCCACACAGGGGGGACTGTGAGAAATCTTTATGCACAGTAATACAACCAATGAAACTATTCTATTTAGAGGTTTAAATAGTTGTTTCTCTGCTGGCAGGACTTCTTGCCTCTTCAGGACTGCCTAGTAGCAGGCAGGGACTTGCTTGGATACCAATTCTGAGAACCAAACCAAGCAACACAGCCGAAGGCTCTCAGCATGACAGTAAAGCAGTTTGTTTTCCAGCTTTTCTGTCTGACCAAGGACCCCATTTCCTTGTTTCAAACTCACATTTCTCACCTGGGAAGGAAAGCTGGGCAACTGCTTTACCCACATCTGCAGAGCAGCAGCTGCTGACCCTCCAGCTGCTGAATGTCCTTAAGACAAATCTTAATTTCAGCCCCACCACTAGAATCTGGTGACACTCAATGCTACGGGACACATCGCAAGGCCCTCTGCCCTGGTCCCACTCATCATTCATCTCCACATCTCCTGGAAATCTGCCAGCTACATCTCAGCATCACTTTAAGTAAAGGTATGTAATTAACATAGTTGAGCAACTCACAGAGAATTCCAGGACTTAAGATATTTTTGGTCATATATAGCAACATAATTGAAACAAACGCCATCTCCTTTGTGGTCCTAATGAGCTAAAACCTCTTTATAAACCTAATACAAGGTGATGAGCCCAGTTTTCTCCTCCCAAAGTCCAATGCTCCCAGCTCCATGCTCTAACATGAGGATGCATGCCCTGGCTTGGTTTTTGCAACAAAACAGAAATAAGCCACAGAAAAAAAAAGCAGCACATTCCAACAGTGCAGGGGCCTGCCTGG